AGAAGTGTGCGCCATAGGGTTTCACTGGCTGATTTTTCAGAAGTAAATGGCCGGGACTTTCTTTTGAAGAGCCTCTGGGTAGACTCGAACCTCCAACACAGTTAGCAGCTGAGCATGTTAACTGTCTGCACCACCCAGGGGCCCTAATATCCCCTCAGGGAAAGCCTATGAACATCTCTCCTGATTAGCGTTCCATAGCACACTGATCTCTCAGCCTCTTGGAAAAATCCCATCCCGTTACTTGGTAATTGACAAGGTAACTGACAAGGAGTACATGGACTGTCTTACATCAAGGGCTGAACCACAGAAGTTTTTTGGGAGCTTCTTGGCTGAGAGCTGAGAGGGACTGAGCATCTGTTAGGAAACAGAAGCCCCAGTACAGAAACCATCCCAGGTGCAGGTAAGAGAATAGTGACATCCTAAGAGCTGTTGTGATACTAGCACAGACCTGGGGCTGGCCAACAGCTATCCAGGATCCTTCTTTGCTGAAGAATTTCCTGGTTGACAAAAAGATGTACTGTCTGCTTCAGAGACCCGCCCAGCCTTGCCCATGGACCTTTTCCTGAATTGTATCCTGATGATGCCGACATTGATCCTGAATTGCATACCAAATTGTATCCTGTTACTTCTGTGTTGTTAGCCTAATAAAGCCTATAACCATGAGTACAGTCTGAGTTCTGTGTGACCACTGCAGCAAATTATCAAAGGCAACAGGGAAATGGAGGGTGGTATGGGAGAGCAGCTGAAATCAGCAACGATGAAGTGGGAAAGCAGAGATTACTTGACCTCTGCTCACAGAAACCAGCTTTACACTGATTCTTATTAGAGAAGTACTGAGACAGACAGTAGTGGTTATCTTTCACTTCACTGCTCCAGTCACCGAGGGCAAAATACCAGCTCTAAGGCCCAGGACTACTTGCACACATGAAGATGCCCTCCCTCACACACACACGGCAGGAAAAGTGCAGGTCAAGTCCAGATGGTGTTCCTGGTGCTGCATTTGACTGGACATACAGGCTTATGAAACCAAGCTCTGTCCCTTGAAACCATGAGATTTGTCTTACTGTGATCAAAAGAAGCCAAAGAACAGTATAGTTAAAGGACAGGAGGCAGCCCTCACTTCAGCAGACAGTAAAATATACTCTGAGAAATGCTACAATACTTTTACTTTACCTTTTATTTGGGGATTTTAGTCCATTTATATTTAATGTAATTTATAGTTGGGTTTAAACATTGTTACTGTTAGGCACCACTGATATCATTTCAAGTCACAGTGACCCTGTGGGACAGTGTACAACTGCTCCATAGGGTTTTTTTAGGCTGTAAGAAATTTGGTCTGGGAGCAGAATGCCAGGTCTTTCTTCTGTGGAGCTACTGGGTGGGTTCAAGCAAAGAGAGGCGTGACTTTCAACAAGAAGACAAAAATGCCAACCCAGTCATGCAGCAACCAAAACCACAGAGAACCTACATTTGATGTGACTGGAACTCGTTATGCTGTTTTTAATGAGAGGTTCTTCTAATCACCCTTGAGGTGATGTGGGTGGGAGTGGTTACAAACAGATCACTTCCTCCCCCAAGGTAAACTTACTCCATAAGGGCTTTCTTTGAATCAAATCACAAACACTTGAAAGCCTTAAGAAAATGTTAAGCCTCAAATACTTCAATAAAGTCTGAAATTACATGGCTTAGTGAAACACTCTGAATTTCAAGAAAGATCCTCTGTGTGTCCTTCAAGTCTCTGGTAGACATACTTATTCATTTTAACCACATCAAGAAATCCCCTAAGAGATTCCATTTTCTTAGCAAGGAAAGTTACAAAAGAGAATGTGAAATGGGCTCATTTCGCAAGCAAAATGAAACACTTTTATGTTTTATTCATGCTAAGTTAAAACCCCTTTGCTTTCCAGCATTACAAATTGAATTTGCTCCTGTAAATTGCTGTTAAAAAAAAAAAAAAAAAAAAGAATCAAAAGCAGAGGAAAGTGAAAAAGCAGGAATTACAAAGGCTCCTTCTTCTAGGGAATGAAAACTCAGGGGACCAATGGAGAGAAATATAACCTTTCGCTGACAAACATATATTTTATTTACTGCTTCCAACAGCAACCCAGCTCAAGGGCTCCCAACAACACAGGAACTTGCTGAGATCCTTACGGCCTAGGAAAAAATCCAAGTGTATTTGTAAATTACATTTAGGTGCTAGCATTGAGGAAGAGTGAGAAATGGTTTAAAAAATGTGAGTCACATGGATTATGTTCCCAAAACATAACCAAAGCAATGTAACCTAATTTATACTGCTCTCATGGGGAGGAGGTCTTTCTACTCTGCAGGACAATTGAAGTCACTCGTTCATGTCTGGAACAGCCTCTCATCCTTTGTATAAAATGATAATTTGTCCTTGAAGCCTCTCTGAGTCTGATTCTTCCAATACTTTCAAATATCTTAGAAAGCAAGCCACGTAATGAGCTCCATCTGCTAGTGTATGTTGCTTTAAAAGATAAAGAGCATTTAAAAGATCAGTAAGCATTTGATACTCTTCCATCATTGTGCAAGTGACTACATTTTGTGTGTCTTGTATGCATGTGTTTTGTGGTTCTTATTATTACTCCCATTTCACAGATGAGAAAAATTGAGGCTTGGAGATCTTGAATCATTTTGTCAATGGGTGTTTGAATCATGTTGCATTTGGCCTCACTTTAAAGGTGTGGAGTGGGCTGACATTCCTATGGAACCCAATGTAATCACAATCTAAGAAAATATGATCCTACCTAGAAGCATGTGTATGAAATAATCCCCACTTTGGCTCCTTTCTTAAAAACAAGCTCTGAGGACAGGAACCAGGAAATGATCAAGTGTGTTACACCCTGGGCTTTCCACCAAGACTAAAGGTTTTTAAATGACAACTAAACATTATTACCTATCTTTCCTGTAAAATTAATCAAACCATGTCCACGCATCAACTCCAGTTTTACAGCTCTGCCAAGCAAGTGAGTGACAGGTGCGTATGCATAGTCTACCCACCCACTCCCCCCAGAGCACCTGGGCCAGCTGTCGCTCCTCATCACTCCATTACAAAAAGCTCAAAGACACACTCTATTCCCAGCAAGTTTATTCAATCAGCAGTTGGAGGACGTGTCAGTTCCCTCTTTTGCTGACAATTTCTCACAATTTGTCTGGTTCCAGCATACATATGTGTTCTCTGCTGATGAATACTTAACCATAATCCTTCCTTTCTAGTTTAGGACTTGGAACCAAATCAAAAGACAATTAAATCCTCTAATGTCCCATCTTGGTAGACAAAGGCTTTGATAAGCCCATACAAATAACCCAGGAGAGCTCCACATAACCCAATCAACCAGAATGCCCAGGAATGGAACTGCAGCCCAGGAAAGCCATTTCTCTGTTGTCTGGGATTTTCACCCATTTCTGCAACTTTTTTGTACACTTTCAGCAAACTGATAACTAATCATCCTATGGATCATGCCTAAATGCCAAGAATCCTCTGATACGTTGAGAATGGCCAAAGATGGTGTCTAATTTAAGTTAATGTATCTCCCGTGGCTCAACTAGTTAACAATGGTGTCCAAGTCTGATGTCATTGGCTAGAATAAAACCAAAATACATGATTGAAAACAAGAATCTCCTTGCTTCCAGTTATTCTGAAGAATGGAAAATTCTAGGGCTTTGAACCAGTTCTAATCAGTTTGTTCATAGCTGATGAAGTGAAATTGTAACAGACCCAAACTTTTAAATTTAGGTGAAGCAGAAACATAACAGGAACAGGAAACTTTATAGGTTGAAGCCTGGAATAGGAGACTCAAACAGGAATAGGAAGAAGCATACTGAGCCCCTGCAGAAGGCTGTCGCAGGAGACTGGACTACTGCCAGGACTGTGGAGAGTAGCACACATTCAAAGCAGCATGGTTGGCCGCCATCTCTGAGCAGGGGCACCTCTGTTTCCAGCTCTGCTGGTCAAGAGATTTGGTTGCTACACAACATGCACACTGCCTTTGTTTTCTAAGAGGGCGCTTAAGTTTCTATCAGGGCATCAACCTATTACTTTTCCTGTTCTAGTTATCATCCTGGTTCATCCACATTTTACAAATTTGGGTCCATTCTGGTCTTGCTTTGTTGGCCGTGAATGAACTGGGAAGAACTGGTTTGAAGCCCTGGAAAATTCACAACACCTTTAAGCAAGGAGCACTGCCTATATCAATAATGAATTTTTGGTAGAATTTTAGAAAAAACACATATTGAGTGGAACTGTGACATGAGTGATGTTTTATGTGTCAAAAACATTATTAGACCAGGAACAAATTTTATCTATTGAAGTTTTAAGTTTAGCCAACCCCATGACCCCAAAGATCCTAATAGCCAAAAACCAAACCAAACTCACTGCTGTTGAGTTGAGTCTGACTCATAGCGACCCCTCCTTGGGTTTCTGAGGCAGTATCACTATGGAAGTAGATCGCCCAACCTTCCTTCTGAGGAGTGGCTGGTGGGTTTGAACCACCAGCCTCCAAATAGTCATGAGTTAATGACCTAAGACTTGTTGTTAAAGACTGAGCAACTTCTCCCTTCTGCAAACCTCTGTGACAAAATTACCAATGGGATGGGAAGTGGGAGGACCTGAAATGGCTGAAACTCAAGAGCATGAAACAGAGGATTAAAACATACTGCAGAGAAGAGGAAAAAAGGGGCTCAGAGAGCCTGGGTGCGTCGGGAGCTTGGACGATGAGGATGGTTGGGGGGTGGGGAACACGCAGAAGTTGAAGGCACGATCCAGAGCTGCTGGAAGGTCTGAGGTACAGGAACCAAGAAGGGCTATAGGGTGTATGAGGCAGGGAAATACACACATGCTTTATGCTCTATTTCTGAGCAGCGTCTACAGTCAAGTTCTATATTCAGTGAAGTGTAATAACAGTTAAAGACTGCAATCTCTGTTAAGATAAAACTGGGGTGTTTGGTAAGGGGCACAATGCCACATTATGCGGGGGACTCACCGGCCATTGTCGCGGCCCACGCCCCACACACGGATGCTCACGATGGGCTGTGAGTGGAGCACGGTGCGGTCCATGGGGTCCACCAGGCTGAGCATGTCGTTCTCCAGGATCAGGTACATGTCCTTGCCCTGGGAGTCAAAGAGAAAACACGCTGTCTTCCTCATGGAGCTGACACAGCCTTATGGTGTTTGGGAGTATCTAGGGGGTGTTGTTTCAATGATCAAAAGAAGCCACCTTCTGTTTTCCTAAGAGAGAAACATGCTCTCCTGACTAAAATATTCATAAATATTTCCTATTCCCCTTACACACTAATTTCTTGCCCTCTCTCCAAGTTCTCTGACATGCATTCCTACTTTGCTTTCCAGTTGGCTCTTGTTTTTAATTATTTACATTTCTGAATTTTTACTCTAAGAAAAAAATTTAATGGCAGATTCTCCAGAGACATCTGGGAATTTACTAACCCCATGCCCAGCATAGCCTTTGCAAGCTTCTTTCCCTGTGACTCTCAGATCTGGCCTAGATCTGTGCCATCTCAACTTTTACAGTACACTGGGTACCAGTGTGACAGGCGTGGCAAACAGCGGCACAGCTTCATGACATTCCTTGGTACGATCCACAGCTAACACTTACATGACTCTTTATTACGTATTAGACATTACGCTACGTGCTTAAGGTGTTCATGGAATCTGTCAACCTGAGAGCTCAGGATGTTATTATCACCGTTTCGTAGCTGGGGAAACTGGGGCTCCAAGTTTAACTTGCCCCAGGCCTGTGATGCCTTTAACTACATGTGTGCTCTTGCAGAGCAATAGAGGGGAGAGCCTTGGTCGTTCATCGCTTGCATTGCTGTTCAGTTTTTCGTGCTGCGGTGTCCTGCTTCCCCACGGACACTGGCTCCTTGAGGGCAGGGACATTGTTATCTTTACCCCACCCCTCGCCTGCAACTGCACAGGCACGATTTTAAGAATCATCAAACGTATGCCGTGCAACTGAATGCCTGTCTCTCGTGAAGGTGAGTGGCGCTCCAGCTGCTGTGGAGTTGAAGCTGGGGGGTCCAGGTGGGCAGGTACAGGGAGGCTTCAAATCCCAGGGCAGGACAGGAAACTGCTCTTTGGTAAAGTCTTTGAGAAGGATGTATTAGGTTCCCTTCAAACATTCTCAGGAGCTCTGGTGGCTCAGTGGTCAAGTGTTCAGCTGCAAACTAAAAGGTTCAAACCCATCAGCCACTCTGTGGGAGAAAGGCATGGCCGTCTGCTTCCATAAACATTTACAGCCTTGGAAACCCTATGGGGCAGTTCTGCTGTGTCCCATAGGGTTGCATGGGTCAGAACTCACTCAAAGGCAGCGGGTTTTTAAAGGTTGTCAGAGTGAATCCTGATGTTTAAGGGTGGTAGAGATGGCTACGTCAGGGCCTCTGTGGTGGATATTTAAGCTGTGCTTGAACCCAGCCCTCAGCAGAGATCCAGAATCCAGGATCTAAAATCTTCCCACAGGGCAAGAGAACCACTTACAGATCACAGCGCTAGCAGAAAATACCTATTCTGAGAACTGTAGCTGAACAGACCCCACAGAGCCTGGAGCCAGAGGCTGCACACTGCCTCAGACCCACGGTGCCTCCAAATGTCTCTGTTGAGGAAGTGCAGTTCATTCCACTTGCTGCAGGCAGGGGCTCTCTGTGGACACTCCAAGGCCACAGGTGGGTCTCGTCCCTGGGCAAAGCCAACTCTTAATGAACCCATCTGCACACGAATCATGAGTGACGTGCAGGTCCTGGGAAGGAGTCAGTTTCACAGCACCTCACGAGGCTGGGGAACAGACCCTAAGCGATGGTTGGCAAAGCCAAAGAGAGAAGCCCATCCACAGTCGTGGCTACAACCTCCACTCCGTACTTCAGCTAAAGGCTGGGCTCCTTCTCTTCAATCTTTAATTGAGGGCTGCCACTCAGCAAGCCCAGTCATGGAGCTCTGGAGAGCTGTGACACCTGACAGCTTAGCAGGCCCAGGTCCCAGGTCCTTCTGGGGCCAGCCAGTGACTTCAAGGTTGCCTGGGGATGCTTGGTGCCTCTTCTCCCCACTGTTTTCCCCTTCCCACTATTCACTGACCACTGACGACAGCCTAAAAGAGATCTTCAGCCAGACTCACTAGTGGGTAACCTGCAGTAAACTCCTGCCTTGTGGTCTCCAACCCTGTTCCATTTCACTATTTTGTGGCAAACACTTCGCAGGTACTAACAAACTCTGAAAGGCTTCCTTTTGGCTGACCTCATCATCTAGTATGCTAGATGTACTGTACTTTGTAGGCTGTGACCCACAGCAAGGTCAAGTCCTGCTCTCACTGAGCTGGTGACACGTCTCCTTTGGGCTGATACAGCTTAGAAACGGCGCTAGTCCTCCTGAGGGTAACAGAGGCCATGTTCATCAGTTAATTCTACTGACAACCTCTGCATTACCAGATAGAGCCAGGGACATGTGTAGCTTATGCTGTAAAACAAGACTGGCTGGCTGAGCATGGTGTTGCCTTGAATGAAAACAAATCATGGCTTCTGCCACGTTTATTCAGCAAACTCATGTCTTCTCACATGACCCTTTCAATTTTCTCATGACACACAGCGGCTCCGGGATGACCATGGCAAAGCCTTGCTAACTGGTTTTCTGTTACCAGACAGCAGATGCTTATGCAGATGTCACCCATGGCTGAAATGCTTATCTGAATGTCACAATTTCATTTTTAGTCACTCAATCAACAAACATCCAAGGAGCTGTGCTGTGCATGGTGGGGCAAACCACAGAATCATAGTTCATAGGCCTAAGCCTTGAGCTACAGTGTGTGTCTAAACTATGGATGAGAAACACTGCCTGCAGGAATTTTGGTTTCAGCAAAATAGTAACAATATAGGGGAGCTAACTATGAGGGAAGGCACAGCATGGCTGCCCCCCCTCCAAGCTTGTTCTCTGCTGTTGGAATGCCATCAGTTGAAGATTCCTTTATGATCTTAATGAGCTCTTCTAAAAAGGAAAATAGCTTGTGGTAGTCATCAGTCATTTGTACATTAGTGTAAATTACACTAACCTTCTTTCTAAATCCTAGCTGACATTTGTCCCTTTGGAAGAATAATATTTTGACTAAAGAAGAGAGAAGTGGATCACTTGGAGGAGAAGGATAAGCCTGGGTATTTGGGCAAGGGCTGGAGGTACTTCCTCCTCCCCTCCTATCCCTGGGATCCAAAAGTCTGGTTGACAGTGTAATTCAGCACAACTCTAAGGCAGACAGACTTTCACCCTGGGAAGCCTCAGCACCCCACGTCCTATGAGAACAGTGCTGTTAGGATAAAACTGAGTGGCATTCCATACAACCCAACAACTCAATCAAAAAGCGTTACATCCCTTGCATGCTCTGGGGATGGGTGGAGTGGAGTTCATCCCTGTACCAAGCAATATTCTGAGATGCTCCTCAATACCCTTGTTCTACAGGCCTCAGTGCACAGGAGAAAAATTGCTTTCCCCCATTGGTGTGATTTTCATACAAGTTTGGTATTGTTTACTTATGACTTCCCTTTCTGAAATGATCTCAATTAACATTTCAGAATGGAATTCCTCCATTGACCGGGAGCCAGAAAACAGAGGTGACAATACTGTGACTCACGTATAGTGTGGATTTTCAGATCGTAAGTAAAGAAGAGTTTTATAGAAGCATAATTTGCCAACTTTCAGAGCAGGGACACCAACATCATTGTGTGTATGTGTGGGGGGCATGTTTCCCTTTGAGAACATGCTAGAGCCATGGGACTTCTGCCCTGAAAACTGCCCTTGTGCATTGGCATACCCAGTGCTGCAAGTTTAGGGTTTTCTGGGCCCTTAAAGCCAATCCAGGGATCCCCTGGAAAATAAGGAGATACCAAATCACAAACTTGTCATTGAGGTAGGGGCCTGGTCCTTGCTGGGATGTGGGGGTGCTGATGGACCAACCATGTGGGTGCACCGTGGCTACATGCCCCACCTTTATCGAAAACACCCCTGATGACCGCCTTCAGAGCCCAGGCCTGTCTTCCGGAGTGGTGGGGGTTCGTGAGCACACGTGGAAGGTGAAGAATGCTGCCATTCACTCACACACACCACTTACCTCTCCCCAGATGCCAACTGTATCTCGGATGTCATTCTTGCAGTAAGAAAGCTGCCTGATGCAGTTGTTGACAGCAACACTGCTTTTACCAGGGGCGAGGTCCTCCTCTGCCATCTCGACCCATCCCAGAGAGCGCACAGCGAAACACTGCAAGACAAGTCAGAGGACAGCAGTGACTCCCTGGGCACAGGTCAGTCTGTTCCAACTGATGTTAAAGTCCTCAGGCCATTATAAGGTATGCTTAATGCAACTTTAATTGCAGCATAATGTGGCAGCATCAAATTTAGTTAACAGATCCCCTAAGGTC